CAGAAGAAAGGATATCAGAGATTGAAGATCAACTCAATGAAATAAAATAAGGCAAGATTAGAGAAAAAAGAGTGAAAAGAAATGAACAAAGCCTCCAAGAAATATGGGATTATGTGAAAAGACCTAATCTACATTTGTTAGGTGTACCTGAATGTGATGGAGAGAATGAATCCAAGCTGGAAAACACTCTTCAGGATATTATCCAGGAGAACTTTCCCAACCTAGAAAGGCAGGCCAACATTCAAGTCCAGGAAATACAGAGAACACCACAAAGATATTCATCAAGAAGAGCAACCCCAAGGCACATAATCGTCAGATTCACCAGGGTTGAAATAAAGGAAAAAATGCTAAGGGCAGCCAGAGAGAAAGGTCGGGTTACTCACAAAGGGAAGCCCATCAGACTCACAGCAGATCTCTTGGCAGAAACCCTGCAAGCCAGAAGAGAGTGGGGTGCAATATTCAACATTCTTAAAGAAAAGAAATTTCAACCTAGAATTTCACATCCAGCCAAACTAAGCTTCATAAGTGATGGAGAAATAAAATCCTTTACAAACAAGCAATTGCTGAGAGATTTCATCACCACCAGGCCTGCCTTACAAGAGGTCCTGTAAGAAGCACTAAACATGGAAAGGAACAACCAGTACCACCCACTCCAAAAATGTACCAAATGGTAAAGACCACCGACACAATGAAGAAACTGTGTCAACTAATGGGCAAAACAACCAGCTAGCATTAAAATGGCAGGATCAAATTCACACATAACAATATTAACTTTAAATGTAAATGGGCTAAATGCCCCAATCAAAAGACACAGACTGGCAAATTGGGTTAAAAGTCAAAACGCATCAGTGCTATCCAGGAAACCCATCTCACGTGCAAGGACACACATAGGCTTAAAATAAAGGGATGGAGGAAGATTTACCAGGCAAATGGAGAGCAAAAAAAAGCAGGAGTTGCAATCTTAGTCTCTGATAAAATATACTTTAAACCAACAAAGATCAAAAGAGACAAGGGCATTACATAGTAGTAAAAGGATCAATGCAACAAGAAGAGCTAATGATCCTAAATATATACACACTCAATACAGGAGCACTCAGATACATAAAGCAAGTTCTTAACGACCTACGAAGAGATTCAGACTCCCACACAATAATAGTGGGAGACTTTAACACTCCACTGTCAATATTAGACAGATCAACGAGACAGAAAATTAACAAGGATATCCAGGACTTGAACTCAGATCTGGACCAAGTGGACCTAATAGACATCTACAGAACTCTCCACCCCAAATCCGTAGAATATACATTCTTCTCAGCACTACATTGCACCTACTCTAAAATTGACCACATAATTGGAAGTAAATCACTCCTCAGAAAATGCAAAACAACGGAAATCATAACAAACAGTCTCTCAGACCACAGTGCAATCAATTAGAACTCAGGATTAAGAAACTAACTTAGAACTGCACAACTTCATGGAAACTGAACAACTGGCTCTTGAATGCTGACTGAATAAGCAATGAAATGAAGGCAGAAATAAAGATGTTCTTCAAAACCAACGAACACAAAGACACAACATACTAGAATCTCTGGGACACATTTAAAGCAGTGTCTAGAGGGAAATTTATAGCACTAAATGCCCACATGAGAAGCAATGAAAGATCTAAAATCGACACCCTCTCATTAAAATTGAAAGAGCTAGAGGAGCAAGATCAAAAAACCTCAAAAGCTAGCAGAAGGCAAGAAATAACTAAGATCAGAGCAGAACTAAAGGAGGTTAAAAAAAACCCTTCAAAAAAATCAACAAATCCAGGAGCTGGCTTTTTGAAAAGATCCACAAAATAGACTGCTAGCCAGATTAATAAAAAAGAAGAGAGAAGAACCAAATAGATGCACTAAAAAATGATAAAGGGGATACCAGCACGGATTCCACATAAATGGAATCTGATGGTAGTAGATTACTACCATCAGAGATTACTACAAACAACTCTATGCACATAAACCAGTAAACCAGGAAGAAATGGATAAATTCCTGGACACTTTCACTCTCCCAAGCCTTAAACCAGGAAGAAGTTGAAACTCTGAATAGACCAATAACAAGGGCTGAAGTTGAGGCAGCAATTAATAACCTACCAACCAAAAAAAGCCCAGGTCCAGATGGGTTCACAGCAAAATTCTACCAGACATGCAAAGAGGAGCTGGTCCCACTCTTTCTGAAACTATTCCAAACAATCCAAAAAGAGGGAATTCTTCCCAAAATCATTTTATGAGACCAACGTCATCCTGGTACCAAAACCCAGCAGAGACTCAACAAAAAAAGGAAACTTCAGACCGATATCCATGATGAACAAAGTCTTCGTTCACTAGGGACTATTTAAGTAGGTAATATGTGTTTGGGAGCTTCATCATAGGTGTTTATTATTGCATAGATGCAAGGAATAAATTTGAGCAAGAGCTAATGAATCTGTGAACATGGTTGACTACTACACTCTTATTAGTTGAGGTTGGACTTCTGTTCAGAGAAAGGAGTTTTCTAAATGAAGAGCAGGTAAAAGTGAAATGGCCTTCTACACTGGATTAATACATGTATGGTCTAACAGAATACTTTTCAGTGATCAGATTCAAGAGTTTGAGGGTTGAAGCTTTGAGTTGTCTTAGGACTTAAGCCATGATCTAAGAACATGGGACATCGAATCAATCTACAATAAGTGACAGTTACTGGGAAGGCTCTGAGAAGTGTTAGAACCATAATCAAAACCAGAATGAGGATAAATGCCAAGGAAATAAGAAACCAGAATGTAGGAAGCAATTCCTAATCAGAAGGCAATTTAGCACCAATTTAGCCTAGCATTTCTTTGATTGGTTCAAACACATAGCACTTGCTTTGTAGTGATTTGAAGGCCTACACCTGAAAGACATAGTTTACCAATTTTCAGAGAATCAGTGAATCAGGTGAACCCAACACCAAAACGATACTATTCTTTGATTTAAAAATTTGCTTCTTCTGGTCGCGGCGAGAGGGGCGGGGTGGCTGCGCCACTCCCTTCAGTCCTGTTCCCAGCCTGCCCCACCCCACCACCAAGGGCTGGATGAGGGTACATATTCCGAGGAGGCGCAGGACGCTGGCGCAGAAGGAGCTGGACGGAGCTGTGGTTGCGCGAGGAAACTTTGTAAGTATACGCATTGCACCCCTATTTTCACAAAGCTCGGCTCACAGAGCATTGTGAACATTAATGACCTCAAACTCAGGTTGTCCGAAGCTGAGCAAGAACATCCACTATGTTTCTGGAATGAGCTTAAATAAGCTCAACAGGAAGAACTTTATGCAAAGCTCCAGGGCATGAACTTTGAGGAGCTGAACTTCTTTTTCCAAAAGGCCATTGAAGGATTTAACCAGTCCTCTCAGCAAGAAAAAATGGATGCGTGAATGGAACCTGTCCCTTGAGAGGTATTGGGCAGTCCTACAGGGAATCTAGATCAGCTCCAGGCCTGGGAAAGTGAAGAACTTTTCCAGATTTCTCAGAACGAAGTAACACTTCTAGCTGGTGGGCAGGGGACTAGACTCATTGCATATCCAAAGGGGATGTATGATGTTAGTTTGCCATCCCATAAGATGCTTTTTCAGCTTCAAGTAGAGCGTATCCTGAAGCTACAACAGCTGAAAAATATTATGGCGTCAAATGCATTATTCCATATAATAATCAGTAGCAGAACAGGGGAATCTACAAAGGAGTTCTTCACTAAGCACAAGTACTTTGGTTTGAAAAAAGAAGATAAAATCTTTTTTCAGCAAGGAATGCTCCCTGCCATGAGTTTTGATGGGCAAATTATTTTGGAAGAGAAGAACAAAGTTTCTATGGCTCCAGATAAGAATAGTGGTCTTTACTGGGCTTTTGCAGCCTGGAATACTGTGGAGGAGATGAAGCAAAGAGGCATTTGGAGCATTCATGTCTATTGTGTTGACAACATATTAGTAAAAGTGGCAGACCCATGGTTCATTGGATTTTGCATTCCGAAAGGAGCAGACTGTGGAGCAAAGGTGGTAGAGAAAACAAACCCTACAGAACTGGCTGAAGTAGTTTGCCAAGTGTGGAGTTTACCAGGTGGTAGAATATAGTGATATTTCCCTGGCAGCAGTTCAAAAATGAAGCTCAGATGGATGACTGCTGTTTCATGTGGGGAACATTGCCAACCATTTCCTCACTGTACCACTTCTGAGATATGTTGTCAATGTTTATGAATCTCATTTGCAGCACCATGTGGCTCAAAAGAAGATTCCTTATGTGGATACCCAATAGCAATTAATTAAGCCAGATAAACCTAGTGGAATAAGCATGGGAAAATTTGTCTTTGACATCTAGTTCGCAAAGAAGTTTGTGGTATATGAAATATTATGGGAAGATGACTTTTCCACATTAAAGAATGCTGACAGAATGGGAAACACAACTCTGCTACTGCAAGGCATGCTTTCATTACTTGCCGGGTCCTCAATTCATGGGTCACTTTATAGATGAAAATTGCTCTCATCTTCCAGCAATTCCCTGCTTAAAGGATGCCAGTGATGTACCAATCCAGTATGAAATCTCTCCTCTTATCTCTAATGCTGAAGAAGGAATGGAAAGTTATGTGGCCGATATATAATTCCACACACCTTTAATCATTGATGAAAATGGAGTTCATGAGCTGGTGAAAAATAGTATATGAACCGTATACCAAATTCTACCACAATAGGAATAGGTTTTATTTTTGATATACCAACTGTGAACCTATAGGACCTTCTGGATGACTGAAGTTTAAATATTCACAGGGCTTTATTTTGCTTGTTGAACTCTCATAGCTACTGCAAACTTCTCAAGATCTAGATGTCTGAATTTCAGATAGCATTTTTATAATTCCCAACTCATTGAAGGCCTTATTTATATTTTTCAATTGTCCATTTTTTTTCCAAGGCAAAGAAACCACTGGCAATCCAAGAAATTTCCTACAGCTGAACTATAGTCAGGATGTTCTTTACTTGGAGCTGGAGGCATTTGTTTTTGAAGTTGTACATAATAATAATATGTTGTTGTATATGTTGAAAGGTTTCTATGGTACCAAAAGTTTACCAGATATTAAACTTTATAAACAAAATAATTGGACAGTAAAATAAAAGTATCTTCCTGTCTCTGGGGAAAAAGATTTGCGTCTTTCTCTCAGAATTTTCACTTGTGCATATTATTGAACAGTTGATTTCTTAGGAATAGACTGAAGAAAAAGCCATCACTAATATAGATAGATAAGTAAATTTTCAGTCTTTTTCATATTGGATGGCAGGCAAAACCAAATATTTGGGAGGCAAGAACTGTTGGGCAAAGCATTTTCTACCTCTGTGCAGAATTGAAATGACATTACTCACGGTCACTGCATCCGAACACATCCTTAGTCATGCATTATCCAAGAAGAAAAATGGTCTTAGACAGAGGCAGGGGCAGGAATAGTGGGAAGTTATAATTATGAGAGTCCTGGACACAGAGAAGGTACAAAGTAAATCATTATCTGCTATTCACTATGTAGACATTGCATTGTTTTTTATAGTCTTCTGTTTATTTTGTTCAGCCAAAAATAATTTTTAGTGATAAAAAGCAGGTACTTTGCTAGGCATTCGGGAAACAAATGAAAGACACATCCTCTGTTCTTGAGAAGCTCACAATCTGGAAATGAAGACAACAGAGTAAATAAGTACCTGTAATAAACTCTAAAAAAAGTGTAAAATTAAAAAAAAATTCTAATTAGCATGAGGGCTTAAAACAAGACTACTTCTTTTGATTGAAAGCTCTTTTATTAAGGAGAAAAGACCATGGTCTTAGGCCTATGTTTTAGTGTGTACTGAGTTGTTAATTCATTATTTCAGATTTTATTCAAGCTTGTAATAGTTGGCTCTTTGTTCCTACTTGCCACATATTCTGTGGTGTTTTCGTATTAGAATAGGATGGCAGATATATCTATGTTCAAAAGTAAATACAGTATTTGAACTTACTCTATTACAGGTAACCACATGGTGGATATTGGGGATATTATATTTATTTTGAATGAACTACAGGAACAGTATGAGGAAGTTCGTAAGTGAGCTCTTGTTGCTATGGCAAATTTTGTTTATAATTAAAGTCTTTACATTAAATCTTAATTTTTAAGTGTTATTTTATAAAGGTTTTGGAAACCTTCTCTGAACAATTTACTGTCTTAAATCAGGGACATAAAAATATAATACTCAAAATGCCATTTATGTGTCCTCTTTTTAGAAATGTCTATGCATGTTCTTCTCCCAGTTTTTTTTTTTTGTTGTTGTTGTTGTTGTTTGTTTGTTTTGTTTTTGTAAGACTGAGTTTCTCTCTTGTTGCCCAGGCTGGAGTGCAATGGCATAATCTTGGCTCACTGCAACCTCCACCTCTGGGGCTTAAGTGTTCCTCCTGCCTCAGCCTCCCTAGTAGCTGGGATTACAGACATGCACCGCCACGCCCAGGTAGTTTTGTATTTTTAGAAGAGACAAGGTTTCACCATGTTGGTCAGGCTGGTCTTGAACTTCTGACCTTAGGCGATCCACCTGCCTCGACCTCCCAAAGTGTTGGGATTACAGGTGTGAGCCACCACACCTGGCTCTTTGCCCAGTTTTTACTTTTTTTGTTTTTTTAACTGTTGAGTTGTTTGAATTCCTTATATATTCTGGATATTAGTTCCTTCTCAGATGAAGTTTGCAAGTATTTTCTTCCATTCAAGAGGTTGTCTCTTCATTCTATTATTTCTTTTGCTGTGCAGAGCCTTTTTAGCTTAATATAGCTTTTAGCTTTTTAGTTTAATTTAGCTTTTTAGTTTAGTTTATAGTCCTATTTGTCTATTTTTGTTTTTGTTGCTGGTGCTTTTGAGATCTTAGTCATAAAATCTTTGCCTAGAAAATCACCTGCTGTCCTATAGACTTAACCCTATGTTATCATCAAACAGTTATTTAGTTTCAGGTCTTATGTTTCAGTCTTTAATCCAGCTTGAGTTGTTTTTTGCATATGATGAGAGTTAGAGGGTTAGTTTCATTCTTCTGCATATGGTTATCCACTTTCCCCAGCACTATTTATTGAAGAGTGTATTCTTTCCTCAGTGTATATTCTTGACTGCTTTGTTGGCTTTGTTGCAACAAAGCTGTTTGCCTGTAAACAAACAGTTGATCAGTTGACTGTAAATATGTAACCTTGTTTCTGGGTTCTTTATTCTGTTCCATTGGTCTCTGTGTCTATTATTATTATTTTGAGACAGAGTCTCACTCTGTCTCCTAGGCGAGAGTGCAGTGGGGCATCTCAGCTCACTGCAACCTCTGCTTCCTGGGTTCAAGCGATTCTCCTGCCTCAACCTCTTGAGAAGCTGGGATTACAGGCATGTGCCACCACCCTCGGCTAATTTTTGTATTTTTAGTAGAGACTGGGTTTCACCATATTGGTCAGGCTGGTCTCAAACTTCTGACCTCAGGTGATCCACCTGCCTCAGTCTCCCAAAGTGCTGGGATTACAGGTGTGAGCCACTGTGCCCAGCCTCTCTGTCTATTTTTATACATACTGTTTTGGTTGCTGTATTAGTCTGCTCTCATGCTACTAATAAAGACATATCCGAGACTGGATAATTTATAAAGTAAAGACATTTACTTGACTCACAGTTCCACATAGCACTCTATGTCTTTGCACTGGAGATTTTAATTCATTTACATTCAAGGTAATTACTACTGACATTTTGTTAATTGTTTTCTACTTGTTTCATAGATCCTTTGTTTCCTTATTTCTCTCTTCTTTTGTGATTGATTTTTCCCTGTTGATTTTTTTTTTTTTTTT